AAGACACTTTACATGGGGCAAAAGAAGGGAAAATGTCATGGGATGATGCTTCTTTATGCATTTTAATTCTCTTCATAATGAAATCAGCAGTTTCAGGGTGCATCCACAGTGTAGAATTAATGCAGTTTGAGACCACTTTAACTAATGGCTTAATGCAATAGAATATTGGGATTTGTAGTTTTACAAAGCCTTTAGCCTTCTCTGCAAGAAAATCCCAAAATATCTGCTTTGAAATGGGTTATCTGAGTCCACACTACCATATATTCCAGTTCAAATCAGAAAATGTGGGATTTTATTCAGATGTGGGAGAGGCGTAGGTCTGCCCGAATAAAAACTGGAAAGGAACCCTATTCCTTTAAATTTTTGGAAGCACACATATCATCAGGTGTTGCTTGTGACTTGGTTGCCTGACAAGCAACACCTGTAGAAATGTCCTTTTAGATGCAACAGTTAAAAGGCACAGGAACCCTTGCTTTTTTCCACTTTGAGGTGCATCAAAGCACTAATTTGTGGCTCATTGCAGAGAAATTTGCCAAAATGTCCCTGAACTTCACTTTTTCCAAAGCAATATAGTAATGGGTTGCTGTGAGTTTTCCAGGTTGTATGGCCATGTTCCAGAAGCATTATCTCCTGACATTTTACCCACCATCTTCAGAGGTTGTGAGGTGTGCAGATGCCTGCCATAGATGTGGGTGAAATGTCAGGAGAGAATGCTTCTGAAAAATGGCCACACAGCCCAAAAAACTCACAGCAACCCAGTGATTCTAACCATGAAAGCCTGTAATAATACAATATAGTAATGAAGTAATAAATAAATACTTCTGATGCTAGCTAAGCCTTGAGTGAAAATCCTGGCTCCAAAGGCTGGAAAATTAACTCTTTGCATCTTGGTATCCCAGAATCTCCAAGACAGTAAGACCACAGAACCCATCCCAATTTGTGAATCTAATTCTTTGAAGAAGAGATGGGCAACCTTGAACAATTGAGAGTAGTGCTTGTTTGATTTCTCCTGGACCACCTACATTGAGGAATTAATGCAGTTTGATACCACTTTGCTGCCATAGCTCTGTGCTATGAAATCGAGCATTTCAGCATTTCACAAGAACGTGTGGGTCACATTATTGCTTTGCTTGGCTATCGGAAGATCTGTGCACGATGGGTACACAGCAGAACTTCAGAGACTGGATCTCACCACCGTACGTCATCCTCCATTCAGTCCAGATTTAGTACTGTCTGACTTCAATCTGTTCCTGATAATGAAAGAAGATCTGCGGGAACATCATTATGCTTCTGATGAAGACGTTGAGAGAACTGTGAGACGCTGGTTGTGGAGACAGAGTGTCGACTTCTTCCGTGACGGCTTCAGATAACTTCTTCATTGTTGGCAGAAATGTATCCAATGTCTGGAGATTATGTGGAGACGTGAATAATAGTAGTTAAAGAGCACCTTCTAAGGATTATTTCTGTGTTTGATTTATTAAAATATTCCCATCCAAACCCAAGTAATGAAGGTGGGGGCATTACTTTTCATTCAACCCTCGTAACTATTGCATTGACTTATGGTTTATTTATTCTAATAATTGATAGAATACTCACCCAAAAGGCACTTTGTGTATCATTTGTGTCCAAATTCAAGGCTACATTTTGGACACTCAGCATAGACAAATAGACACATAGAGTGTGACACATAAAATACAGATTCGAATTGGAAACTATGATAACTGATGGTGAGATACAATGTGTGTCTATTTGCAATTCTGTATTTGCTCCCTTTACAACAGTGGCTCCCAACCTATTTGAACAGCAGGGCTTTATATAGCATGGAATTTTCCACTCATTAACCACCTGGAAAATAACTTTCCTAATCTTTGCCTCTAGGGCCCCTTCCACACATCCGAATAAAATCCCACATTATCAGCTTTGAACTGGAATATATGGCAGTGTGGATTCAAATAACCCAGTTCAAAGCAGATATTGTGGTATTTTCTGCCTTGATATTCTGAGTTATATGGCTGCGTGGAAGGGTTCTAAGAGTATATGTATATACAATATATTGAGTTATTAATATAGCACAATATTAGTATTATACATCACTATATTGTACTATACTACTATACTGCAGGATTATTAGTAATATTACATGTAATATATAAAATACAATTCTTATATTATTATATTTTTGTCATCTGGTATTTGCACTTTATCCATTAGCCCTATTCTCACAATTGATTGCATTAGCCTGCCCACCTGAGTTCAAAAACTGTTACTATTTCAGGCCACTAGTTGTTGCTAGTTGGTTTTTGTGTTATATATCTGGTTGTGTTATATTGTTTTATGATGTTGTTACTGAATTTTTAAGGTACTATTTTAATTTTGTTGTTGGGCTTGTCCCCATGTAAGCTGCCCTGAGCCCCTTTGGGGAAATGGAGATGGGGTACAAAATAAAGTTGTTGTTGTTGTTGTTGTTGTTGTTGTTGTTGTTATATAGTAAAAGGTAAAGAATGTCCCCTGATATTAAGTCCAGTCATGTCCGACACTGGGGGTTGGTGCTCATCTCAATTTCTAAGCCAAAGAGTCGGTGTTGTCTGTAGACATCTCCAAAGTCACGTGGCCGGCATGACTGCATGGAGCGCTGTTACCTTCCCTGGGGCTGGGGCTGACAGTGGAAGCTCACACCGCTCCCCGGATTTGAACCTGTGCCTTTTTGGTTAACAAGCTTAGCAGCTCAGTGGTTTAACCCACTGCGCATAGTACTATATTATTATATCACAATATAGATTTTTTTTTTGGCATGTCAGAAGTAACTTCTGGTGTGAGAGAATTGGCTGTCTGCAAGGATGTTGCCCAGGGGACGCCCAGATGATTTTGATGTTTTTATCATCCTTGTGGGAGCCTTCTCTCATGTCCCCGCATGAGGAGCTGGAGCTGATAGAGGGAGCTCATCCGCCTCTCCCCGGATTCGAATCTGTGACCTGTCGGTCTTTAGTCCTGTTGGCACAGGGGTTTAACCTACTGCGCTACCAGGGGCTCCGTACAATATAGATAATACACCAGTATATTATAGAATATATTTATAACAGAATTTATATAATAGAATATAAATTCCCCATTGAAATCTCCTTAGCTTGCTTCTTAAAATGATAGATTGTGTGTGTGTGTGTGTGTATAATTTTTTTTGTATTTAAAATTTTTATATCCTGATCTTCTCTAACCTCTGTAGAGAGATTCTGACTGGCTCACAGCAAGGATTCGATGTTAATAATGCAGTCTAAAAACAACATACAATAACAAGTTAAAATACATATAGATTAAAATTACAAATAAGCCAAATCGCCAAGATAAAATCATGTCCAATTCAGTCCGTATGTGTGGTTGATAAGTTTGTTCTTTAGCTGGTCTCAAACATTACTCTGGGAATGCTTCCTTCCATAGCCAGCTGCGCCCGTACCTTGGGAAGTCAGATCTGGCCACGGTGGTCCACGCTCTTGTTACATCCCGGTTGGATTACTGCAACACACTCTACGTGGGGTTGCCTTTGAAGACTGCTTGAAAACTCCAACTAGTCCAGCGAGAGGCAGCCAGATTGCTAACCGGAGCGGCGTACAGGGAGCATACCACCCCCCTGTTGTGTCAGCTCCACTGGCTGCCGATCCAATTCCCAACACAATTCAAAGTGCTGGTTTTGACCTACAAAACCCTATATGGTTCCGGCCCAGTGTATTTGTCCGAACGGATCTCCCTCTACGTCCCATCTCAGAGTTTAAGATCTTCTGGGGAGGCCCTGCTCTCGACCCCACCTCTGTCACAAGTGAGGCTTGTGGGGACGAGGAGCAGGGCCTTCTCGGTGGTGGCCCCTCATCTGTGGAACTCACTCCCCGGGGAGATTAGATCAGTGACTTCCCTTTTGTCATTCATAAAAAAATTGAAGACCTGGATATGGGACCAAGCTTTTGGACATTCTGGCAGCTAAAGGAAAGACCGTGATGATGAGCAGGAAGTGATGGAACGGAATGGATATTTGGAACTCTGAACACTGAGCATGAGATTGTTTACTATTATATTATGTACTGATGATTTTAATTTGTTAATTGTTTAAATTGCTTTTATGTATGTTTGTATAATTGACATAGGCATCGAATTGTGCCTTCGTTTGTAAGCCGCCCTGAGTCCCCCCTCGGGGGTGAGAAGGGCGGGGTAGAAGTAACTGAAATAAAAATAAATAAATAAATAAATAAATTTCACCAGCCTCCTGAAGGACAGGAGGGAGGGGGCAGATCTGATCTCAATCGGGAGAGAGTTCCATAGCTGAGGGGCCACCACAGAAAAGGCCCTGTCTCTCGTTCCCACCAGACGCGATTGCGAAAGTGGTGAGCCTGAGATCAGGGCCCCACCAGAAGATCTTAATAATCTTGAGGCTAGCCTTCCCCTGCCACACGTTGCTGTGGCCCAGTCTGTGTATATATGTTTTGTGTATATGTATACATGTGGTTTTGTGCATGCGTTGTAATTTTTTTTTGTTTTTTGGCTTTTTAAGTCTCTTCTGCTGTGTTTTTCAGTGTTTTTATGAGTGATGGTCACTCATTGGCCTAATACGTGTATTGTGTCCAAATTTGGTATCAATTCGTCCAGTAGTTTTTAAGCTACATTTTTATTTATATAGATATATAGATAAATGGATGGATATCAAAAATGCAAAACATATACATATATAGATACAAGAACAACCTATCCCTATAATGAATCTCGCCTCTTGACATGTTTAAAGTGGGGGGGAAATCCAAAAAAACATACACAAGTTTAAAAAAGAAGAAAAAAAATAAAATTCCCTTAGACAAAGCTAAGGTTTGCCTTCCAAATGGCTACCCAGCTGGAAACCCTCAAAAGCAGGGAAAACAACAGGCCCCCCTCCCTTCCTGAGAGAAAGGGGCGGGGCTTCTCCCTCTGCACTCCGCACGGAGGGAGGTTCCTGGAAGAGCCGCCATCCAGGTATAAAAAGCCTCCCCGGCGCGAGGCCCACTCAGATCCGCCCAGCCGTCGGTGCAGCGCCTTTGCTCTTGCTTCAACAGTGCTTGAACGGAGCAGGTCCGCGGCCGCCCCATCTTTCCCCCATATTTGCAGCCAAGCATCCTTTATTTTTTATTTCCTCTTGCACCATGAGCTCCCAGGTCCGCCAGAATTACCACACCGAGAGTGAAGCTGGAGTGAACCGTATGGTCAACCAGTTCCTCCATGCTGGCTACAAATACCTCTCTTTGGTGAGTATCTCAGGAAGGGAAACCTTTTGTTTACTTCTGTGGAGGACTAGAACTGTAATGGTTTAATGCTCAATAATCCTGGGATTGGTAGTTTGATGAGGCCCCAGCAATCCTTGGCAGAGAAAGCCAAGAACCTTGTAAAACTACAACTCCCAGGATTCCATAGCACTGAGCCACAGCAACTAAACTCTCTTAATTCTACTACAAATACCTCTATTTGGTGAGTATCTCGGGAGGGAAAACCTTTTGTTTACTTTCTTCTATGGAGGACTAGAGCTGTAATGGTTCAATGCTCAATAATCCTGGGATTTGTAGTTTGGTGAGGCCCCAGCAATCTATGACAGAGAAAGCCAAGTACCTTGTAAAACTACAACTCCCAGGATTCCATAGCATTGAGCCACAGTAACTAAATTGCCTTAATTCTACAGTGCAAACCAGTGGTTCTCAACATGGGGGTTGGGACCCCATTAAGGGTTGTGAGGGGGTGTCAGTGGGGTTGCCAAAGACCATCAGAAAACAGCACCCCCACCCCCCCCCCCCAACCCCACCAGTATTCAAATTCGGGCATATTGGGTATTTGTGCCAAATTTGGTCCAATGAATGAAAATGCATCCTGCATATCAGATATTTACATTTCAGTTGCAAAATGACAGTTACGAAGTAGCAATGGCAATGATGTTATGGTTGGGGGTCACCACAACATGACGAACTTTATTAAGGGGTCCCATAATTAGGAAGGTTGAGAAACACTGGTGTAGAACATTTGTAGATTGGTGAAGGATTTTGTTATTTATTTTTGCAGAAAATGCTAGGGTGCACTCGCACTGGGAAATAAATGCCATAGCTGAATACTGTGGAATCGCAAGGAGTTGTAGTTTTACAAGGTCTTTTTCCTTTTCTACCAAAGAGTGCTAGTGCTTACTAAACTACAACTCCCTTGATACCATAGCATTTGAGTCATGGCTTTTAAACTGGTTAGAGTAAGTATGGGCAAACTTGGGCCCTCCAGGTGTTTTGGACTCCAACTCCCACAATTCCTAACAGCCGCCCAAGTTTGCCCATGCCTGGGTTAGAGGATGTCTGCTTTTAACCAGTTTGTCTTTTGTCTGCCAGACTCCATAAAGAATGCTGGCTTTGTCTTATCAGCTGGCAGCCTTTTCTCTGAATGACATCACTGGCTTTCTTGTTATCTGCAACTACAAAGACTTCCACCCCCTGAGCTTTGCACCTGGCTTCCATCTGTGCAGACCCCTCCACCCACAGTAGATGTAGCTTGACCATTTCAGACTACCTACCTTGAAAAACCTTTTTTTTTGTTTTGTACTGCCTCCTCTTAAATATTACTCTTTTGTTTGATAGTTTTGTAAATCTAGAGACTACATTTGTCTAAATTGCTGCTCTCTATGGCGTTTCACAACCTGGGGGTCGCGAGGGGAGTGTCGAAGGGGTCACCAAAGACCATCAGAAAACACAGTATTTTTTTGTTGGTCATGGGGATTCTGTGTGGGGAGTTTGGCCCAATTCTGTCATTGGTGGGGTTCAGAATGCTCTTTAATTGTAGGTGAACTATACATCTCAACAACGACACCTCCCGAATGTCTAGGTCTATTTTCACCAAACTCCACCAGTGTTAACATTTGGGCATATTGAGTATCCGTGCCAAGTTTGGTCCAGATCTATTATTGTTTGAGTCCATAGTGCTCTCTGGATGTAGGTGAACTACAACTCCAAACCTCAAGGTCCGTGTCCCACCAAACCCTTCCAGTATTTTCCGTTGGACATGGGGGTTCTGTGTGGGAAGTTTGACCCAATTCTATCATTAGTGGGGTTCAAAATGCTATTTTATTGTAGGTGAACTATACATCCCAGAAACTAACTCCCAAATGTCTAGGTCTATTTTTCCCAAACTCCAGCAGTGTTCACATTTGGGCATATTGAGTATTAGTGACAGGTTTGGTCCAGATCCATCATTATTTGAGTCCATATCCTCTCTGGATGTAGGTGAACTATAACTCCAAAACTCAAGGTCAATGCCCACCAAACCCTTCTAGTGTTTTCAGTTGGTTGTGGGAGTTCTGTGTGCCAAGTTTGGATCAATTCCATCACTGGTGGAGTTTAGAATGCTCCTTTATTGTAGGTGAACTATAAATCCCAGCAACTGCAAGTCCAAAATTTCAATATCAACCTCCCCCAACCCCACCACTATCCAAATTTGCGTGTATTGAGTATTTGTGCCAAATTTGGTCCAGGGAATGAAAATACATCCTGCATATCAGATATTTACATTGCGATTCAAAGTATCAAAATTATGGTTATGAAGTAGCAACAAAAATAATTTAATGGTTGGGGGTCACAATAACATGAGGAACTGTATTAAGGGGTCTTTGCATTAGGAAGGTGGAAAACCACTGATCTATTGAATGCTGGATTTTCACTCTGGCCATGCATGGTCTTATCCATGGCTGCAACTACACTGTAGAATTACTGCAATTTGATACCACTCTAACTTCCATGGCTTAAGGCTATAGAATCTAAAGCAGGCATGAGCAAATTTTGGCCTTCCAGGTATTTTGGACTTCAACTCCCACAATTCCTAACAGCCTACCGGCTGTTAGGAATTGTGGGAGTTGAAGTCCAAAACACCTGAAGGACCAAAGTTAGCCCATGCCTGATCTAAAGGCTAAATACTAACTATAGCATTTAGCCATAGCAGAAAGTGACGTCAAACTGTGTTAAATCTACAATGTAGACACGCCGCATGTCTTCTCAAAAGTAACTGAATGTAGAACAATCTACCACCCACACCTTAGAGTTGGGGGTACCTGGGGCCAATTGTTGGGCTAACCCTCTGCCAGCTTAAAGGATGATAGGAATGATTGTCCTTTCTTCTGGAGGGCCACAGGTTTACTACTTCTGTTTACAAGTGATGAATTTGTGTATTTTACAGTGTTTATAAAATTTTAGGACATTATCTTTGTCATCTCACGTCCATGGTGCCTTCTTTTAAGCCTGGTTTTGGACGTAAGTTACTTTTTGGTTTTCCAACTCACAGAATTCCTGCTGGAGGCTCTCAACATCCTTTGGATTCCAGCTGGAAGGTTCTAAACCCTTTCCTGCCCTGTGTTTTTGCCCCCCTTTGTGTCCCATGTGATTTGGTATTTTGATAGCAAAGTTCACTCTTGTTCCTGTTTAGATACTACTGGAATGCTTGTGTATATGAACTCTTGAACAAACATTACTGAGACAGTGGAAGTTAATTATTAAAAGCTCACATCCTTCAGTTAGAAAGACCAGTAGTAGGGTTGGGATCAATTTTAGGGACACTTTATATGTAAATCAAATGATGTTGATTTGGATTGAAAGAGGAGGGAGAAGTGGAAACAGACACAATGTCTGTTCAGAGTGGAGGGAAGTTCCATGGTTCAGGAAGATAAAGCAAACCTTATCTCTCATGATTGGGAGACTTCAGTCATCTAAGGATCAAACCCAAAATCAATAAAATTATTAAACCAAGTTTAAACTGCAATAACCAGTCATGCAGAACTGGTGAATGTGGTCACATCATAGGATCTGTCCAATAGCAAAACTGACGTTCCTAATTACATGGGATGTTTGAAACTAACTTTTGGGATTCTGGATTGCTTCCAGTCAGAACTCATAATTTCTTTGGGTTGCTGTGCGTTTTCTGGGCTGTATGGCCATGTTCCAGAAGCAATTCTCTCCTAACATTTCACCCACATCTATGGCAGGCATCCTCAGAGGTTGTGAGGTCTATTAGAAACTAGGCAAGTGAGGTTTATATATCTATGGAATGTCCAGGGTGGGAGAAGGAACGCTTGTCTGTTTGAGGCAAGTATGAATGTTGCAATTGGCCATCTTGATTAGCATTGAATGGCTTGGCCCCTTCAAAGCCTGGCAGCTTCCTGCCTGGGGGAATCCTATGTTGGGAGGTGTTAGCTGTCCCTGATTGATTATTGTCTGGATTTCCACTCCCTTTTTAGTGGTGCTCTTTATTTACTATCCTGATTTTAGAGGTTTTTTTTTAATACTGGTAGCCAGATTTTGTTCATTTTTGTGGTTTCCTCCTTTTCGTTGAAATTGTCCACATCAGGACAGTAAATAAAGAGCAACACTAAAAAAGGGGGAATTCCAGACAATAATCAATCAGAATCAGCTAATACTTTCCAACAAACAATCCCCCAGGCAGCAACCACCCAGGTTTTGAAGCTTGCAAGACCATTAAATGCTGATTAAAGTGTCCAATTGCAACATTCACACTTGCCTCAAGCAGACAAGTGTTCTTTCTCCCCCCGTGGACATTCCACAGATAGATAAACGCCACTTGCCTAGTTTCCAACAGACCTCACAACCTCTGAGGATGCCTGCCATAGAAGTGGGCAAAATGTCAGGAAAGAATGCTTCTGGAACACAGCCATACAGCCTGGAAAACTCACAGCAGTACAGTGATTCTGGCCGTGAAAGCCTTTGACAACACATAATTTCTTCGCCATGGAAAACCCTAAATCGGGTTACTCCAAACCATGGTTTGGTATATCTGAAATGAATGGTGAAACTAAAGTATTGCTATATATAATTGTGTAGTAACATTGTGTCATAGGATCGGACGAAACCTTAATGGCCATTCACTCCAGCTCTTGTATCAAATGGCAAATCAAGGATTGGCTTTTTTGGAATTTCTTAGGGGGGTACTTTCAAGCAGTGGATTGCTGAATTTGTTGATGCTGAATCCATGGTCACAGAGAGTGGCTTTCCATGTGAAAAAGACGGCAATTTGGAGTGGGATGAATTTTGTGGTTGTTTTGTTACACTTAACATCTCAACTCTTTTCTCCTTCATTGGGCCAAGGATGCCAAGTGGGGATCTGAACCCTGTTTTTGCAGTCACAACATTGTAGGGAAAATGCATCTCTCCAAATATTGCTTAACATTGTGTTTTGGGTGGTAGTGTGCCTCATCTGCTTTTCCTTTTTTTCCTGCCAGGCCTTTTACTTCAACCGGGATGATGTGGCTCTCTCCAAGTTCTACTCCTTCTTCCGCCACCTGTCTGAGGAGAAGCATGAGCAAGCTGAGAAGCTCTTGACCTTCCAAAATCGCCGTGGGGGTAGAGTCGTCCTGCAGGATATCAAAGTGAGTTGCAAGGAGAACAGGAGAGTCTGTTCAAATGAGGGATGTGTGGTTGTAGCAGAAATGGGCGTAGCAATTATTAAAAGCAAAGAGGAACCTGGATTTCTGGATAGAAGTGGAAGAAGTGAAGCTGAGTGCCATAATGTATGCCTTTGCAACAGAGAAGTTGTGAACTTTGGTGAGAAAAGGCTAGGTGAAGGAACACTTAAATGCCTCAAGACTAACCTAGGTTTGTCTGAGTCTCCCCAAAATTATCTGATTAAGTTTGACCCTGAAGACTGTAATTGAGCTGTTTTCAGAAATGTGTCAATCCAGATGCCTTCTAAATGATTAACAAGTGGAAATATGACATCAATGTTTGCTGTTGAGTCCTCTTAGGAAGGAAGCTAAATAGGATGCATGGAAATACTTCCCATCATGCATCCAGTTTTCCATTTTGATTTCCTAGCTTACACCCAACGTTATGTAGCTTCATAGACTTAGTACTTGTTGGATTTGTTAAATTTGTACTGAAGTGACACCCCCCCCCCCTTCCTGCACATGCTGATAACCTCTCATCCAATTTCTCAGTGGCTGTACTTTTGCTCTTATTTGTTTTGGCACTTGAATTGATTATAGTGGGAGTAGTAGAAGGTTGGATACAAAAATCAATATGCTATCAGGGAGATCAGAGACATAAGTAGGGGAAGGGATGTAGTTGGCACATGGTCCCAGTATTGCTCTGTATTATTCATTCCAGAAACCAGAACAGGATGAATGGAAGAACGGAGCTACTGCCATGGAGGTCGCCCTCAACCTGGAAAAGAGTGTGAACCAAGCTCTGCTGGATTTGCATCAGGTGGCTTCCCGTCATACTGACCCCCATGTAAGTATTGTTGGAGGAGGTTGGCAGCCTTAGGTTTGGTGCCCATTAAAACTTTCATGCAGTGGGAAATGTCTGAAAATGGCATGTGGTTGGCTGCCCATTGATTCTTGTAAACTCACACTCCGCAAACTTGCCTGGTTTTGTGAGTTTTCCGGGTTGTATGGCCATGTTCCAGAAGCATTCTCCTGACATTTCACCCACATCTATGGCAGGCATCCTCAGAGGTTGAGGGGGTCTGTTGGAGACTAGGCAAGTGAGCTTCAGCCAGCCAGACTTTGAAGCTGCAAGGCCATTAAATGCTATTCAAGGTGGCCATTTTGCAACATTCACACTTGCCTCAAGCAAACAGTTCTTTCTCCCACCCTGGACATTCAACAGATATATAAACCTTGTGGCATAATGTAAAATAACCACGTGTAGTTCATGTTTGATCAGCTCACACACTGTCTTGCCAGAAAAAGAAAATATGCTATGCAGATGATCAACAAAATAAGTAGTTTACTCTTTGTAGTTTAGAACAACATATGTACAATGTGATCAGTTACATCAACTCACATAATGCACTTTTATGAGAGACTTAAAATGGTCTTTCTTTTTCTGTGTGGATGAACTCCTTCAGCAGCTCATGAAACAAGAAGCACACTCCAAACTCTGTCTCTCTCTGAGCAGCTGTGTAGCTCTAGCCTGAAAAATGTAACAGTATCCAAATGTCTCAGGCTCGGCCATCTCCCCGGGCGGAGCCCAATCAAGTAGTCTCATGCATCTTATTTTACAGTTGACACACGTTCGCTCAAGTGGCCGAAGGGGAAAAGGAAAGGGCCCGAGGCTGTTAGGAACTGTGGAAGTTGAAGTCCAAAGCACCTGGAGGGTCCATGTCTTGGCTAGGACTTTGTCAAATTGAACAGATGTTCAGTGCAAAACAAACTCCGAATTTAAGGATAGTGTTGAGGCTAATTTACAAAATCATATGGATCATTAGGATTACGTTTCTTTCCTATTTCCCCTAAGCTGTGTGACTTCCTGGAGACCCACTACCTTGACGAGGAGGTGAAGGTGATCAAGAAACTGGGAGACCATATGACCAACCTGAAGCGTGTGCGTGCCAGCGAGGAAGGCCTGGGTGAATACCTCTTTGACCGCCTCACCCTGGGCGAGTCCAGCGACTGAGCCTTGAAGTCCTGGCTCCCTCCTGACTCCTGCAGCCTTGTCTAAATGTGCTTTGGTTAGCTCAATACATAAAGGGCCTCTGTATCCTTGCTCATGTTATGCATATGTGGGAGTCTGTAACTGGCATTAAATAAACTTGGCATTAAGCACTCAATGGAGCGTATGTGTCAATGCATAACGAGAGAGAAAGATTCACAACTGACAACACTTACCTTCATAATACAAGGCAGTGGTTCCCAAACTAGTTCAAGTGTCTTTGACCTAGATGTTTACAGATTTTACTCATTGATGGAAATTGTAATCCAAAATATCAGGCAGACCACAACTACAGGGTAGATCTCTGGTCTAATAGGTGTTGGTCACACAGATGACTTAAAGCATGGAAAAAACATTGCTTTCTGCATGGGTCACCATCTAGTATAAAAACTTCTATTAGCCTATGATACAGACATGGGGACTACCTGTCATCTATATGGTGTTCGATTACAATTTCCATTATCGGTCACCAGTAGCCAGGCCTGATGGTAGCTTTCTATCAATTCTAAAGGCTAGGTTGGCTATTAGCCCTCATTTCCCCTTAAAAATTACTGTCTTGAGGCTCTGCAGTTGCTACAAAACCTTACACTACAGGAATTAGCAGTTCTTCCTTCTACATCCTTGCTGTTCTTCCTGTTACACCAACTTATGGGGCAGGAAAGCTGTAAAAGATCTCTTGAAATGTGTTTGCCTGAAAAAGGTAAACAATACTGTATCAGAATGAAAACACATGGCTTATTCTGGTCCAGGAAGGCTGGTGTTAAAGGAGTCAAAGGAGTGTTTCATTTAAAGGACTGTTTGCTTAGTCCTGATTCCTGTTGACTCTGCCCTTGGAATTCCAAAATAAAACTTTCCACATTTAAATGAAAGCATTTTAGGGCTTACTGTGTCAAGTAGGAAGCTCATTTTAATTACCAGAGTGGCTTCTTTCAGAGCTCTGTCACAGAGGAAAACAGTCTGGAGTTAGGTAGAATGCAAAGCATGAGTTTTGGATTTTACTACTTTTTTTCTCCCAGTGACAAATGTAGCTAGATGCTGCATTGATGCCCCTTGTCACTTAATAGTTATATGGGTGGGAAGGCACTATATAAGTACGCTGATGACAGATGCAGCATGAGACTTCAGTTTTCTGAGCAAAAACAGTAGCCCTTAGTGCCAGTTTGTTTTTACTGTGTCAGAAGCATCTTGAGAAACTACAAGTTGCTTCTGGTATGAGAGAATTGGCAGTCTGTAGAAACGCTGCCCTGGGGATGCCGGGATGTGTTACCATCCCATGGGAGGCTTCTTTCTTGTCCCCGCATGGGAAGCTGGAGCTGACAGATGGGAGCTCACCCCATATTGCAGATTTGAACCACCAACCTTCAGGACAGCAGTTCAGCCGGCACAAAAGTTTAACCTATTGTACCATTGTGGATTAACTCGTCCAGTACTATTTTGAGAATATACATTGTGTTGACAGAAGGATTTTGTAGCTCAGATCAGAAGTTACAGTAGAGTCTCACTTATCCAATCTTCACTCATCCAATGTTCTGTATTAATCAATGCAGTCTGCCTCCCGCCCGGACCCACAACTGTTTCTCTAATACAGCAAAGCACAGCAGGCCTCTGTGCACTGGGTGCCCACCGGGATAGGCAAGATGCAGCCGGCACAGACTTTTCCCATCGGGCACAGCCTCCGGCCTGCACCAGCTGAGTCTCTCCCCTCCCGGGGGGCACAATTTGACATTTAATAGGCTTTTCCTTAATCCCTCATGATCCAACATTTTCATTATCCAACGTTCTGCTGGCCCATTTATGTTGGATAAGCGAGACTTTACTGTTGTTCCTTTATTAATGAACTGGGCATAATTAAAGCAAAACCTTGGACTTTTGGTATGCAAATCAAAGCTCCCTCTTCCAAAAGTGTTTCCTCCAATATGATTCCACCGAGATGTTGCTGGTCTACAACTTCTCAACTGCTAATTTCAGGCTGGCAGGAGTTGTAGTCCAGCGTATCCAAAGGATACCGATGCTAAGAATGCTACCCCACAGAAAAGGCCTCTTTCCATTTAATTCTGATAGACACTCTTTTGAAACCATTTTCAAAGCAAACTTTATTCATAATTATGAAATTTGTCACACACAGAGCTTCTGTTCTTCAGTTTGTTTTTCCACACAAGGTAGAAAGAGATAGGGGAGAGAGGACAAACAAAAACTTCAAGCGATTTACAACAGCCATAAATAAAAAGGCATAAAGTTTGAAGGGAGAAAAGGAAGAGAAGGGGGGCATTGACCCACAAGGCTTTAAACCAAGAATGTTCTGTAATAAACGACTGAAAAAGTGGCCTGGGGTGGTGTAGTAGAGACGGAGGGATGTGGTTCATTACCTGAACAGGGGAGGCACTGTCAGAACACATAACCATTGAGGCCACAGGCAAAGTTTTATCTGTTTTAAAAAAGTGATTTTCTTTTATTGTTGATAATAAGCTTGGCAGCAGATATATAAAATGAATGGGCTCTGTGTGTGCCCTCAGAATCATATTCTCCCTTGTGCTGGACCAAATTGTCAAGACACCCATTACTGTTACTTCTTACACCCTTTAGTTAACATACTCTGGCTTTCTGCAAAATAGAATCAATGTATTGTTGAACGCTTTCATGGCTAGAATCACTGGGTTGTTGTGAGTTTTCCAGGCTGTATGGCCATGTCCCAGAAGCACTCTCTCCTGATGTTTCACCTGCAGCTAGGGCCGACCTCACAACCTCTGAGGATGCCTGCCATAGATGCAGGCAAAACGTTAGGAGAGAATGCTTTTGGAATATGGCTATACAGCCTGGAAAACTCACAACAACCCAATAGAATCAATGTTGGTTGTGCTGTCCATCAGACCACACCTTCATGTGAGTTGGTAACTAGTTATGCTACGTGTTGATCACATCTGCACTGACTGGTACGAGTATTTTAAGTCATCCAACTGTCCATTCTAAAAGGAGCAGCTTGGCCATATCAACACATTTTCCTTTGTCTCACTGATTTTAAACAGCATGGAGGCAGTTAAAAAAAAGCACAACACTTTCCCTTTAAAACAAGACACACAGGAAGCATGCACATTGTTTTTAAGAAGCATGATTCAGTTTGAAATCCATGTGCATGTTCTCTGTTGAATAAATTGGCTGAGTTAATGGTAAAGTTTTACCTTGCTGGGTTTTTCTTCCTGGCACACAACTGTTAATGTAGTGGCATGGCTGCTGGGTGGGTCTGGAGGGGCACAGTCTCGACTATGTTTTGCAGCCCACAACACTAGCACCTGGCCTTTATTGTTCACATATTAGAAGTAGTACCATTACATTTTTTTTTCTTTTTTACCATGCACATTCACTAAAATTCAGAAATGAGAACTCACAGTTCAGCCCGGGTACTTTATATGTTCCATTTGTGTTCATACAGCACATTCCTACAGCAAAACAAATTTGACATTCATTTAACTGGTTGCACTGGCTTCAAATAAGCCTTGTGCTCCTCTCTTTGTCAAATTCAACATGGCACTTAAAAACAAATTGCACAGAATGAATAATATTGCACTAAGAATTGTTCCAAAACGCTCTTGATTGTCCGCCAGGGCCTGAAAATGGCTCTCAAAAAAGTCATCATTTAAGCCTACACAGATCGACAAGAATTTTTTTGATTCGTTTTGCTGTTGCCCTTCAAAGAGTGATGTGTACTGCAAGATAATTCTAGTTTCCTTTCTATCCAGAAATGTTCTTTCCTTGTTCCCCACAGAGGCAACGTTAACCAACTTCAGAGGCAATATTCCTGTCCAAATCATACACTCCTTTCGTATGTTAAATGTGTCCTACCCCACAGGGATGTGGACTTCTATTAAAGATGGCTGCATGTTACAAAAGGTCACATGGCCAAAACACTTGCCAAAATTCTTAACTAGGGCTTTGTTTCGAAAATTCATTTACTAAAAAAATCAATCTACAAGCAAGGCAAGCATGCTTGAACGCACTGAAGATGCACCATAGGGAAAAGCCTATTTTTCTCTTTGCAAACGACAGGACTTTTAAAAAAATGCTGTCAATTTCATTCAGGTGCCAGACTCTCCTAGAATTCCAAAACTTTCTACAACATTGCTATTCGCATGCCATTAGATTAACAGTGCGGGATCTATTTAAAAATGATCAAGAATTCCCTTTTCATCTTCCCCAAACCCTGTTCATCAACATTGGTTCTAAAAGGTTATGGCATTTCCAAGAGAGTGATACCTGGTGAACTGGGACAGTGTTGCTACAACCTATAGACCACAAACTCACCCAGCCAAAGGTTCAGTCACAAGTACTGAATGAGATATTTGATTTAATATCTTTGTGGCTCCCAGGACAGCCTTCAGATTTATCTTTCGCCCACATCTTTTAAATGCATCAGGGTTCTACACATCCCTTAATATCTCCTCCTCTCAACAGGACGGCAGCACATGAGACTCTAGAGTATGTTTTGGTGTTGCAAAGAAACAAGAAGAGGAGAAGCAGGCCATGTAAAGCTTAGGGATGTGTGTTCATGATCTAAAATGAGTTAAAACCACATCCTTGAGACCCACTCCAAAGCATGGAGGAGCGTCTCCCTTTCCCTCATTTGCACAACCTGAGCTACAACAGATAAGTTTTCAGCTTGGCATTAGAAACAAATCAATCCCAAGCCTTTCCTCAGATCTGAAACATGCTAGAACCTACATTCATGGATCCTTTCAGGGATCCAGCACCAGAGAACCCAGCTGACCTACCAAGGGCAAGAGGGAGGTGTGGGAAAGAGTGGGAGAGTACATAGGCACAAGCTAATTCCTCTCTTCGATCAGAGAGTTGGTGGGGCTGCTGAGGTCGCTGGGGCTGCTGGGAATGGTGGGGGTGCTGGCATTGGAGGACGTGCTGGCTTCGCTGGAGCCCTTCTTGGAGCGCTTGCGCCACTCGGGGACGGGGCCCATCATCCCCGGGGGCTTGATGTTCTGCCGGTCCTTTTCTGCTTCCTCTTCCTCATCGTACCGTTCATCATCCTCTTCGGTCTCGCTGTGGTGGGGACTGGAGTGACGGGAGATGGAGGGAGATGGCGGCACAGAGGCTGGGCGTGGGTAGCGGAAGCCCTGAGCCTGGAGGGAGCAACAACAAACATAGGGGAGTTGAGACTAAGAGGAAGACTCAAACTAAGGGAAAACTTGATTAGGGTTTTACATACACACTATTCAACACTGACACTGAAATACAACACCACCTGAGCTCTGCAAGTGCAGCGTTTCTCTGATCGAAACAGAGTTTGAGGATTGGGACATCTGTAGAGAGACCAAGGTGCTTGTTTATAAAGCTATTTCCTCCCAACCCGGCTATACGCCTGTGAAATGTGGACTGTTTACGACGTCACACTCAACTCCTGGAACGATTCCATAAGCATTGCCTCCTAAAAAACCTGCAAATCTCTTGGGAAGACAGGCAGACAAATGGCAGTGTGCTGGAAAAAGCAAAGACCACCAGCACTGAAGTGATGCTCCTATGCCATCAACTCCACTGGAACGGCCACATTTTCCAAATGCCTGATCCCCGTCTGCCAAAGCAGCTACTATACTCCCAATACAAGAACAGAAAATGTAATGTAGGTGGGCAGGAAAAGAGATTTGAAGATGGGCTTAAAGCAAACCTTAAAAACTGTGACATAGACACCGAGAACTGGGAAGCCCTGGCCCTTGAGCACTTTAGCTGGAGGTCAGCTGTGATCAGCAGTGCTGTGGAATCCGAAGAGGCACGAATGGAGGGTGACAGGGAGAAACATGCCAAGAGGAAGGCACATCAAGCCAACTCTGACTGGGACCGCCTTCCACCTGGAAACTAATGTCCTCACTGTGGAAGAACATGCGGGTCAAGAATAGGGCTCCACAGTGACCTACGTATCCACCACCAAGACACTAGACTTAGAGGGCCATCATCCTATGAGGAATCGCCTAAGTAAGTACTATTCAGTGGCTTCTACTTTGGGACAAGGGAGTCCTTCCATATAAAGATCTGCATTTCATTCTTCCATCACAGTGTGTATACTCACCGCTGTTGGCTCATGTGGCTCATAGGTGAAGTTGTCAGGGAATGCCTTAGCAAGTGCCATATGTCTTGCGTACATGTAATACTGTAAAGGAAAGAGAGAGTAGCAAGAGGAGACAAAAATGAACATTAGAGAGTCTCTCTTGTATCCACCTGCCATTTATTTTCCCTCCACTAAAGACAGATTAAAATTTATGAAATATAAACCACCCCTCCCCTTCCCAGCAAGGTTCTCTCTGTATCTAGAAACATGGTGTCACAGGGATACTTCTTCTATTGACACAGTAGCAACATAAAAATCTGTCTGCACTCCAAGATTAATGAAGTTATGGAAAGGCATGACATTTTAGAGATCATAATCTTTTGGAAAACCAAAAATCTCCATAGACTTTTAGGTATGTGACCCTTTTGGAAATTAATTGGCATTCATACTATTTGGAATAATCATAACCTATTTGTAAGGTATGATCTTCCCAAGAAGAGTTAAATACTCATTTGAGTGAATCTTCTCTTCAGTGGTAAATATCCACTAGTATCCATACAAGGCTTCTCCGTTGTTACACTGATATACCTGGCCATCTCTCTGAACTTTTAGGAACAAAGATATGCCAATGCACAACATATAAAGTCGATCTTCAGAAGTGTTATTTCAGTTGCCCAAAAACATCTACTCTCCCATAAAATATGTTGCTTTAAAATCATGCTGTCAAGAGACCATAAATAGGTAGTCTTTGTTAGTGACATAGTTGATTTATTTACAAACTTCATGTATTCAGCGTACAGGTACATTTATAGTAACCATTTCCAAAGGGCTCTCAATTGATTCACTTTGCCTTCACTTGGAAGAGTAAACATCTTGTCTTTTTAGAAGGGAAGTCTGGGAAATGGTATTATCCAAATTATGTGACTTAGCAAAAGTTCATCTTTCTTAACCTAGCCTCACATTTATTCTGCTTCAAGAAACAGAAGAGGAACTGAGAGTAAGCAAAAGGATTAAAATCCACTTTGGGAAGTGGCACTAGTGGGCTTATTAACAAAAGACCCTCCTCGTGAATGTATAGCAGAGTAACTTATTAGCAGCAGTGTGGCCCAGCACCAGTAGCTCAAAGTAATAAAAAGAACAAAAATACCCAGACCAATTTTATATCTTCCTTAGGAGGCTTTTCTTTGTAGTAAAATAATATGGTTGCATTATTTACAACAAAGTTTCCAAAACACAAATAAACAAATAAAAAATTAGCTTTAGACACAACAGCCTTCATACTAGAGCTTTCTCACATGAGGCTTCTCTCACACTCCTCAGGACAACACAGGCTTTGGCCTACTCACTCCCCTCAGGAGGACACTAGCTTTAGCCAACTAACTCTAAAAGGCTTCGGCCTACTCACTCTCCTCAGAACGACACTAGCTTTGGCCCAATAACTCCAAAAGGCTTCAGCCTACTCACTCTCCTCAGGACGACACTAGCTTTGGCCCACTAACTCCAAAAGGCTTCGGCCTACTCACTCTCCTCAGGACGACACTAGCTTTGGCCCACTAACTCTAAAAGGCTTCGGCCTACTCACTCTCCTCAGGACGACACTAGCTTTGGCCCACTAACTCTAAAAGGCTTCGGCCTACTCACTCTCCTCAGGACGACACTAGCTTTGGCCCACTAACTCTAAAAAGCTTCGGCTTACTCACTCTCCTCAGGACGACACTAGCTTTGGCCCACTAACTCTAAAAGGCTTCGGCCTACTCACTCTCCTCAGGACGACACTAGCTTTGGCCCACTAACTCCAAAAGGCTTCGGCCTACTCACTCTCCTCAGGACGACACTAGCTTTGGCCCACTAACTCTAAAAGGCTTCGGCCTACTCACTCTCCTCAGGACGACACTAGCTTTGGCCCACTAACTCTAAAAGGCTTCGGCCTACTCACTCTCCTCAGGACGACACTAGCTTTGGCCCACTAACTCTAAAAGGCTTCGGCCTACTCACTCTCCTCAGGACGACACTAGCTTTGGCCCACTAACTCCAAAAGGCTTCGGCCTACTCACTCTCCTCAGGACGACACTAGCTTTGGCCCACTAACTCTAAAAGGCTTCGGCCTACTCACTCTCCTCAGGACGACACTAGCTTTGGCCCACTAACTCTAAAAGGCTTCGGCCTACTCACTCTCCTCAGGACGACACTAGCTTTGGCCCACTAACTCTAAAAGGCTTCGGCCTACTCACTCTCCTCAGGACGACACTAGCTTTGGCCCACTAACTCTAAAAGGCTTCGGCCTACTCACTCTCCTCAGGACGACACTAGCTTTGGCCCACTAACTCTAAAAGGCTTCGGCCTACTCACTCTCCTCAGGACGACACTAGCTTTGGCCCACTAACTCTAAAAGGCTTCGGCCTACTCACTCTCCTCAGGACGACACTAGCTTTGGCCCACTAACTCTAAAAGGCTTCGGCCTACTCACTCTCCTCAGGACGACACTAGCTTTGGCCCACTAACTCTAAAAGGCTTCGGCCTACTCACTCTCCTCAGGACGACACTAGCTTTGGCCCACTAACTCTAAAAGGCTTCGGCCTACTCACTCTCCTCAGGACGACACTAGCTTTGGCCCACTAACTCTAAAAGGCTTCGGCCTACTCACTCTCCTCAGGACGACACTAGCTTTGGCCCACTAACTCTAAAAGGCTTCGGCCTACTCACTCTCCTCAGGACGACACTAGCTTTGGCCCACTAACTCTAAAAAGCTTCGGCTTACTCACTCTCCTCAGGACGACACTAGCTTTGGCCCACTAACTCTAAAAGGCTTCGACCTACTCACTCTCCTCAGAACGACACTAGCTTTGGCCCAATAACTCCAAAAGGCTTCAGCCTACTCACTCTCCTCAGGACGACACTAGCTTTGGCCCACTAACTCTAAAAGGCTTCGGCCTACTCACCCTCCTCAGGACGACACTAGCTTTGGCCCACTAACTCCAAAAGGCTTCGGCCTACTCACTCTCCTCAGGACGACACTAGCTTTGGCCCACTAACTCTAAAAGGCTTCGGCCTACTCACCCTCCTCAGGACGACACTAGCTTTGGCCCACTAACTCCAAAAGGCTTCGGCCTACTCACTCTCCTCAGGACGACACTAGCTTTGGCCCACTAACTCTAAAAGGCTTCGGCCTACTCACTCTCCTCAGGACGACACTAGCTTTGGCCCACTAACTCCAAAAGGCTTCGGCCTACTCACTCTCCTCAGGACGACACTAGCTTTGGCCCACTAACTCCAAAAGGCTTCGGCCTACTCACTCCTCAGGACGACACTAGCTTTGGCCCACTAACTCTAAAAGGCTTCGGCCTACTCACTCTCCTCAGGACGACACTAGCTTTGGCCCACTAACTCTAAAAGGCTTCGGCCTACTCACTCTCCTCAGGACGACACTAGCTTTGGCCCACTAACTCTAAAAGGCTTCGGCCTACTCACTCTCCTCAGGACGACACTAGCTTTGGCCCACTAACTCTAAAAGGCTTCGGCCTACTCACTCTCCTCAGGACGACACTAGCTTTGGCCCACTAACTCTAAAAGGCTTCGGCCTACTCACTCTCCTCAGGACGACACTAGCTTTGGCCCACTAACTCCAAAAGGCTTCGGCCTACTCACTCTCCTCAGGACGACACTAGCTTTGACCCACTGATTCTAACAGACTTCGACCTACTCACTGTCCTCAGGACGACACTAGCATTGGCCCACTAACTCTAAAAGGCCTTGGCCTACTCACTATCCTCAGGACAACACTAGCTTTGACCCACTAAATCTAAAAGGCTTCGGCCTACTCACTCTCCTCAGAACGACACTAGCTTTGGCCCACTAACTCTAAAAGGCTTCGGCCTACTCACTCTCCTCAGGATGACACTAGCTTTGGCCCACTAACTCTAACAGGCTTCGGCCTACTCACTCTCCTCAGGATGACACTAGCTTTGGCTCACTAACTCTCACAGGCTTCAGCCTAGTTTCTCTCTTCAGGATGACACTAGCTTTGGCCCACTAAATCTAAAAGGCTTCGGCCTGCTCACTCTCCTCAGGATGACACTAGCTTTGGCCCATTAATGCCAAAAGGCTTTGGCCTACTCACTCTCCTTAAGACGACACTAGCTTTGGCCCACTAACTCGAACAGGATTTGGCCTACACACTCTCCTCAGGATGACACTAGCTTTGGCCCACTAACTCGAACAGGCTTCAGCCTACTAATTCTTTCAGTGCTTGACTCACACTCAAAAATACCCAGTTAATTTTTAATATTTCTGACAATCTGATTTTGGAAGCTAAGCAGTACCATCTCTGGTTACCACTTGGATGAGAGACAGCTGACAAAGAGCAGGTCATGTAAGCTATATTTCATAGGAAGTAAGTGAGAAAACCATCTATGAGGATTCCTTGCCTAAGAAAACCCAATGAAAGTCATGGGATTTACATAAATTGAAAGGTGATTTGAAGGCACACATACACACAGAGAGCAAGCTTCGACATTTAGTTCCCTCTAGTGGCAGATGAGTAAATTGCAGCATTTTGAAGCAGAACTTGGAAAAGATTCTTTTATACTTTATTGTTCTTTTGTATGTACCTTCAAATTTACTTTTGTGTTATGGCAGCCCTATCAAAGGGTTTGAGTAAGAATTTAAACCGTGTCCTCCCAGAGTCTTATTTCAAAGTAATCCTTTGCACCAAGCTGGTTCTCTATTACAAATCCAACTGGTCAGTTAGGTTGCTGTGAACTTGAAAAAGTTTCTTTTTTGGACTACAAGTCCCCTAATCAATGTGACAACTGACCAGTTGTGTTGTCAAAAGCTTTCATGGCCGGAATCTCTGGGTTGCTGTGACTTTTCGGAGCTCTCTGGCCATCTTCCAGAAGCAATATCTCCTGACGTTTCACCCACATATCTATGGCAGGCATCCTCAAAGGTTGTGAGGTTCTGAGGAAGCAACCAGCCAGGTTTTGAAGCTGCAAGGCCATCCAATATAATAATAATAATAATAATAATAATAATAATAATAATAATAATAATAATGTATTGTCGAAGGCTTTCATGGCTGGAATCACTGGGTTGTTGTGGGTTTTTTTCCAGGCTATATGGCCATGTTTTAGAGGCATTCTCTCCTGACGTTTCACCTGCATCTATGGCAAGCATCCTCAGAGGTAGTGCATCCTCAGAGCATCCTACCTCTGAGGATGTTTGCCATAGATGCAGGCGAAACGTCAGGAGAGAATGCCTCTAGAACATGGCCATATAGCCAGAAAAAACCCACAACAACCCAATAATAATAATAATAATAATAATAATAATAACAATAATAATAATAATAATAATAATAATAATAATAATAATAACAACAACAACAACTTTATTTGTACCCCGCCACCATCTCCCCAATGGGGACTCGGAGTGGCTTACATGAGGCCAAGCCCAAACAACAATTACAACAAAGGTGGCCAACTGCAACATTCACACTTGCCTCAAGCAGACAAGAGTTCTTTCTCCCACCCTGGACATTCCACTGATATATAAACCCCACTTGCCTAGTTTCCAAAAGACCTCACAACCTCTGAGGATGCCTGCCATAGATGTGGGAGAAACATCAGGAGAGAACGCTTCTGGAACATGGTCATACAGCCCAGAAAAATCACAGCAACCCAGTGATTCTGGCCATGAAAGCTTTTGACAACACAACTGGTCAGTTGTCATATTGATTAGGAAACTTGTAGTCCAAAAAAGACACTTTTTCAAGTTCACCATGAAGGAAGAAGCTGATGAAATGTCAACAAAGAGTCCCCCATTGTCCCCATCTGTAAAAGCAGCTCACCCGGCCTAGATATTTCCAGTCTAAGAGATCAGAAAGCCGCTCAGTGCGGTTCCGCTGGATGATGCGCTGCCGCCGTGTTTGCTGACAGAAGCTGTACAGAAAAGAGGTCAGCTGTGTACACGACTCATCCAAGCCCCGAAAACGTCGGTCGAGGATGTAGATTCCTGATTAGAGAGAAGTTTAAAAGGACACATCTCATTTCCACTCTAAAAAAAAAGCTGTATTTCAGAGCAAGGCAATGGCAAACCACTTGTGATTATTCCTAGCATAAAGAAAATTGTAAAATTTATGGAGCTGCCGGAAGCTGGCAGGTGATTTGGAAGTGAATACCCACTCCAAAGCCAACATAGTGATCAAGGCTGCATCTACACAGTAGAATTAATGTGTTTTGACACCAAATCATGGGAAGATGGTATTTAGACTTCTCTACCAGAGTGCCCCCTGGTGGCACAATGGGTTAACTGCTGAGCTGCTGAACTTACTGACTGAAAGGTTCAAATCTGGAGAGCAGTTCGAAAACATGCAAATATGAGTAGATCAATAGGTACTGCTTGTGCACAATGATAATGGACAACAGCTTTGTTAGTGCATATTGGAAAGAGAGGCAGAGCGCAAACTATAGCTACAGAACTCTAAGAAAGCCTTCTTGTAGGTAGCAAGGGAGAATAAATAAAGTCCCATGCTCATGATGTTTAATCTTCCCTTCCTTGATGTCACCAGGGGTGAGGAGAGGAAACTAGAGAAATAGCGAGTGATCATTTAAATATATAGGTAAAGAAAACCTCCATTAGGCTGTCCCCCTTTGGTGTTTTGTCTTTTTGGTTAGGATTCGATCTATGGATACCTGCTCCACCTTCTCCTTTCAGTGTACCCAAAAGTGCCCATTCCCAGCTCCTAATACGAACCATAGGCAGATGGATCTGCTATGTGTTCCTCCATAAAGCAGCCAAAGCCAGAGAGGTTGGTGGAAACACTCGGGATGCCCATCACAGTGCATTCGGCTAGAAAACAAAAGAGAGAGATCATTTGAGAATGTGGGTGGTTAGGTCCCTGGACCTGCAATGGCCAAGATTCAGAGTAATGAAAGGAAACTGGGCTAGGAAAGGGGAGGGGCACTGTTAATAATTTGCATTAGTAGTTTTGGAACACAGTAGTCAAGTCCAGTCAAAGCACCATTACATTTTTTTTTAGTATAGCTTACCACCTTCACCCCAAAGGAATCGTACCTGGTGTGTAGCCCCATGGCTCATAGTAAGAAGGGAACACCCCTAAATGGCAGCCTCTAACAAATTCCTCATAATCAACTGGAAGGAGAGGACTAGTGGAAGACAGGAATTCTGGATGGAAGATAACCTGGGAGAAGAAGAGAGAGAGTAACTAGTAATAAAATAATGTCACCCTAAAGATTTAAATATCCTTTAAAATTGGGTGATGGATCTTTGGATCTGCAGATATTACTAAAATATCTCTTCCATCATACCTTGCTATTAGCTAATCATAAAGGGACAATTGGAACAAAGTTCAATAACACCTGTGGGAGACCACAAGTTCTCCATCCTTGCTTCAGTGATATACAGTTGACTCTCCACAAATTGCAGGTTTGACTTTTTCAGATTTGATCATTCCTAGATTTTATTAATATGTTATTTCTGTGAATATCTAGGCCCCCAGTGCAAATTTTCACCAGACATCATGCTGAAAGACCTAGAGATTCCTAGAGGGGGGTTCTCTCGGGTTTTTTTTCTCGTTTCAGGAGCAATTTGAGAAACTGCAAGTCGCTTCTGGTGTGAGAGAATTGGCCGTCTGCAAGGACGTTGCCTAGGGGACACCCAGATGTTATACTATCTTGTGGGAGGCTTCTCCCATGTCCCTGCATGAGCTTCTTAGGGGTAACTTTATCTCACTTCCTCTTGTTTCACCCCGTTCTTAACTATGGGTCATTTGTAAGTCAGATGTAAATTGTAAATAAACACTATTTATTCTTCTCTCAGGTAAAAAATAGTGTTTTTCCATTAGTTGTTTTTCCATTTTTACAGGATTTTGCACCCCTAACCCCAGTTAATGTGAAGGGTTGACACTATACAGATTCAGCATCCCTTATCTGGAATTCCAAAATCAAAAATCAAAAATTCTCCAAAAACAAAAATTGTCCACATGGATGGCTGAGAAAGTGACACTTTTACTTTTGGATGGTTCCATGTACATACACTTTGCTTCATGCACCAAATTATTAAAAAATACTGTATGAAATTACCTTCAGGCTACATGTTTAAGGTATACAAGAAGCAGAAACGAAATTCTGGTTTACACTTTTCTGTTCTCATTACCTATGTATATGCAAATACAGGTACAGACAGTCCCCAAGTTATGAACAAGATGGGTTATGTAGGTTTGCTTTTAAGTTGAATTTGTATGTAAGTCGAAACAGGTATATTTTTAAAGTGTAATTTCATATATGTGTGTGTGCGCGCACAAGCTTTGGATAGCTGAGGGAAGGATTAACACCCCCGTGGACTCAAACCTGAGTCACAACTGGGTTACACTGGAAGCACAACTACAACCACTCCCTCCTAGCCGATAAATAAACAAATCCATGAAGAATGGTATCCAAGAATGCATATTTAGGTTCAAGAATAGGTTCCCAGATTTCAAAAGGTTTCTGGTCATTGAGCTACACAAGACAATAAACTTTCATGACCAACATAAAATTATAATAGACAACAATGTGAAAAACTCCCAATCTCAGCTGTATTGCAATCTCATCCTTTAATACCTGATTTCAAGTAATACTTAGGTACTCTTCCTGTTTTTATGGTACAGCCAGACCTCCGGCACTCACCTTGACGCGATCGGCACTGCTGTTAAAAAGGCCAATGCGACGGATGCTGTTAAGAATGGGGTCGGTGGAATCATCCAGCATGTTATGGGTGCAGATTGGGGGGAAAGACTGGCGCTGGTTAGGGAGGAAAATAAGACATGTCTGAGTAATAATAATAATAATAATAATAATAATAATAATAATAATAATAATAACAATAATAATTATACACTTTATTTATATTTTGCTTTATCTCCCTGGAGGGACTCAGAGTGGATTACAGTACACATATAAGGCAAACATTCAATGCCTTTTACACAACGAACAATGGCATACAATACACAGATCAGATAAAGGCCATGAGTAGTCATGATTTAAAACCAAAAATGATGAAAAACAAAAAAGTTGTGGTCCCCACTGTTGTTATAATTCCAATGCCTTCCCCTCGTCCTTAATATCTATGTTCCTCTCACTCCATTTCACTCTGCCACCTCTTTCTTTGCATTTTCTTCATGCAAAGCCTTCCCATTTGTGAAATACATTCCAAGATTTTTTTTTAAAATGTTATGGGTTTGAAGGTATGTACAAATCACATCCCTGGGAAAATAAAAATATCACCTCAGTGAAAACTAAGTTCTTTTCCCCCTTAGAAAACTTTGAAACATCATCCAAACAATTATAAGCTAATATCTCTGTTTTAACAGACCTCCTTTAATTTGAGCCATCCAGGAGTCAGGCACTGAGAAATGTTTTAGACACGCAGAAATTTAGTCTGCTCCATCTGGCCACACTATATACAAGGGGTTTCTAGCTTAACTTTCTTTTATTCATACATTCCCATACCTGGGTGGCAAAGATGGCTCTCTTCATCATTGTGAAATCCTCCTTATCCAGCATTTTGTTCATATCAGGAAGATTCCCTCTGAAATATAAAAGTAAGCAGAGCTTAATGGGAGTGAATATAATGAGTGCATGTGAGACTTCTTCAGCCCCACACAAATAGAGCTTTTTAGATATCTGTTCAAGAATTAAGGTTAATCAAACACAGGCGATGTAGGGTAAACCCTAAGGCAATACCCATTGTAGCCCCGGCATCCCAATAACCCAATTTTCTTGATGCTTTCTCACAAGAGGCCACTTACACAAGGAGTGACTCGTAAAGTTTTTTGCCAAACTTTTCTTTCACTGCATTAGCTGTATCCCTAGGGAGAAAAAAGGGAGGGGGAGAGAATGAATGTAGATTAATATAGAAATAATGCTTAAAATCAGAAACTAAGACTGATAAGGCAAATGTAGGATTTATAGAATTCCTCTTATGAGAGAGATTAGGGAGGCCAAGCAAACTGGGGGAGGGACAGAGTAGTTCGGTGGTATGAATGTTGGTCCCCTGTTCACATTAAAAACTCAGTGACTGATACCACACTCTCAATTCCAGAAAACTACAGGTTTTCCAGAAATTGGAAATTACCCGTATATACTCGAATATAAGCCGACTCAAATATAAGCTGAGGCACCTAATTTTACCAGAAAAAAACTGGGAAAATGTATTGACTCAAGTACAAGCCAATGGTGGAAAATGCAGCAGATACTGGTCAATTTCAAAATAAAAATAGATACCAATAACATTACATTAAGTGAGGTATCAGTAGGTTAAATGTTTTTGAATATTTACATAAAACTGTAATTTAAGATGAGACTGTCTAACTCTGATTAAACCATTATTCTATGCTTCTTCAATGTAAATGTGATGACGTATCCTTCCAATAATAATAAAGAAAGTAAAATAATAAATGTAGTAATAATAATAATAATAATAATAATAATAATAATAATAATAATAATAATAATAGAGTAAAATAAGGGAAATGCAATAATAACATAGAATAATTGAGTTGGAAGAGCCCTTGCGGTCTATCCAGTCCAATCCCCTGGCAAGAAGCAGGAAAATTGCAACAGTAATAATAGAGTAAAATAATAAATGTAATAATAATAATAACAATAAAGTAAAATAATAAATGTAAAAAAATAAAAATAATAGAGTAAAATAATGTAAATGTAATAATAATAATAGAGTAAAATAATGAATGTGATAATAAAATAGGGTAAAATAATGTAAATGCAATAATAATAATAACAATAAAGTAAAATAATGAATGTAATAATAATAATAATAACAACAGCAATAACAGAGTAAAATAATAATTAACTTTGACCTGAGGATAAGCCAAGGGGGGCTTTTTCAGCCTAAAAAAAAGGGCTGAAAAACTCGGCTTATAGTTGAGTATATACAGAACCTAGTACAGTAGAATCTTGCTGATCCAACCTCTGCTCACCCAACATTCTGTATTATTCAATGCAATCTGCCTCCCATCGGATGCACAGCTGTTTCAAAACATTGTGATGTTTTGGTGCTAAATTTGTAAATTCAGTAATTACTACATAACGTTACTGTGTAATGGACTGTTATTTTTTTTTTTGTCGATTAGTTGTAAAACATGATGTTTTGGTGCTTAATTTGTAAAATTATAATGTAAAATCATGATGTAATTTGATGTTTAATAGGTTTTTCCTTAATCCCTCCTTATTATCCAACATTTTTACTTATCCAATGTTATGTTGACCCATTTATGTTGAATAAGTGAGATTCTACTGTATTTCTTAGTGACCGCATTTCTGGGAAGAGTTAGCATGGAGTAATAGGAACTCACCAGAGCTGCTTGCGGACGGCTTGGCCTTTCAGAGTCTCAACGTTGAAGTTGTTGGTCCGGGCCGGCATGATGAAGAAGGCCACCACTGTTGTCTGGCTACCATTTACCTATGAAGAGAAAAGGCCCAAGAGTCAGCTATGACCTGTTCCTTCTGCTTCTGCCCAAGGATTTCTGCCTTATACTCACCACTACCTGCCAACTTCACAACACTGCAAACATGAAAGAAAGTCCACAACAATACAACGACTCCACCTTTCATTCAGGGCACTATCTTTATCACTCTTGGGATGCACATTCACAAAGAAGTGTGGTAATAATGGCTCATAGTCAGGTTTTGTTCTTGTAAAACATCCTTGCAAGTTTGTGGGCATCACATGTGCATACTTGGCTCAGCATTAATTCAAAAAAAGGTCAACATCATGACAGACCCTGCCAGGATGGTAAGGGAGTCGCATGAATTGAATTAACCAATCAAGCATGGCAAAAAGGGGTGCAGGTGGCCCCGCCCAAAAAAACAAACTTGCCAATTTTTTAAAACATCTCTGATAGTTTTTGTCTTTGCTCATAGGGTGAGTATGGTGACCATCCTTGGAAATGCATGAATTTGACTGGGAATTATTTTAAGATGGAAATATTAAAATGTATGGAGCCCCCGGTGGTGCAGTGGGTTAAAGCACTGAGCTGTTGAACTTGTTGACCGAAAGGTTGCAGGTTCAAATCCGGGGAGCGGCGTGAGCACCCCGTTAGCCCCAGCTTCTGCCAACCGAGCAGTTCGAAAACATGGAAATGTGAGTAGATAAATAGGTACCGCTCCAGCGGTTCGGTAACAGCACTCCTTGCAGTCATGCTGGTCACATGACCTAGGAGGTGTCTATGGACAACGCCAGCTCTTCGGCTTAGAAATAGAGATGAGCACCAACCCCCAGAATCAGACACGACTGGACTTGATGTCAGGGGAAAACCTTTACCTTTACTTTTACTATTAAAATGTATGTTTATTATAACTCTGTAGCCTATATAGGACATATGGTTTAATCTGCTTGTTTATCTCCAACTGATGTCTGGAGAAGTAGCTACAAATCACATGACTCTCAGAACCTGTGTGCTATATCTCTTCTGTTACTGAAAATAAAACTTTACTTTTCTTAATGTCTGCCTCTGGGTTTGATTGGTCACTCCATCTCTCCAGATAAGGGGTTACGGTGGCACATTGGGTTATTAAACCCTTGTGCTGCTGAACTGTTGATCTGAAGGTTGGCAGTTAGAATCCGCGGGATGGGGTGAGCTCCCGCTGTTAGCCCTAGCTCCTGCCAACTTAGCAGTTCGAAAACATGCAAATGTGAGTAGATAAATACGTACTGCTTCGAGGGGAAAGGCATAAAGATGCTCCAAGCAGTCATGCCAGTCACACAACCAGGAGATGATAACGCAGTCTCCTCGGCTTGGAATGGAGAAAAATACCTCCCTCAGAGCTAGAGATGAGCACTTCCTCCATGGCCAGAAATGAAAGGAGGAGTCTTTGCCTTTATCTGTGTGTGTGTGTCTCATTGTATTGTAACAAAGGCACTGAATGTTTGCACGTATCTGTTTATATATATTGTAATCTGCTCTGAGTCCCCACAGGGAGAAGGTTTGTATTATTATTATTATTATTATTATTATTATTATTATTATTATTATTGGGCAATCCAAGACAGACAGCCCATATTTCAAAGCAAGGAACTTTCCTCTGTGGGGGGAGTTGGTGACATCTGCCTAAGGTGGTTTAGGATTTTATGGAAACGTTTCTGAGATCCTTTTCTAACTCAAGGATGATCCAAGAGACTGCGGCTTTACAGACTGGGCAGTGGTTTGGATCCAGAAAAGAGATGAACAAGTGTGAGCTTCCTGCCAATCTCTTATGGACTCTGGCAGTTATTTCCCTTAAAAGCAGATTGCGAGGAAGAATTGAAGGAAAATATTGATTTTGAGTTGTTGGCTTCTTTCAAGAAACAAGAGCTGCAATAGCAAGAACTCTTTTCTGCATTTCAGAGCAACAGAAACTGAAGTGTAGAGCAAAAAAGGGAATCCTTGCCAAAAATGGAAATTCTTTTGGTTACCCTCAAAAAGGAGCTACCTGGGCAGTTCCTTTTAACAACAGTATTGAAGGGCCTGCGATGTAATTGGCTTCCAGGAGACGGGAGGTCACCATATGCGGGCAGTTCTCTTTGTTTCCTCAGAAGAGAAGCAAAATGAGCAGATCCCTTTGACAAAGCAAAAGGAAGGTTGCTAGGCAGCCACTTTCTAGGAGGGAAGGCACCAAACATCCATGCGGCAGGGCTTTCTTTGTTCTCCTGAAGGGAAAAGCCCTGCGGTCAAGTATTTTTTGCACGAAGGCAGGTGAGACAGCTGAATGCTGCTAAGGGAGACCAAGTCTCAGATAATGAACATGTACTATGCCAACCCAGAGCACCAAAAATGCCTCCTGCGGATGAGAAAGGGGAAGGGGCTAGCAGTAGCTGGTTCTGGGTTGTTGTCAGTTTTTCGGGCTATATGGCCATGTTCCAGAAGCATTCTCTCCTGATGTTTCACCTGCATCTATGGCAGGCATCCTCAGAGGTTGTGAGGTTTGTTGGAAACTAGAAAAAATAGGTTTATATATATGTGGAATGTCCAGGGTGGGAGAAAGAACGCTCGTCTATTTGAGGTAGGTGTGAATGTTTCAATTGGCCACCTTGATTAGCATTTAATGGCCTAACAGTTTCAAAGTGTGGCTTCTTACAGTCTGGGGAAATCTTATGTTGAGAGGTGATTAGCTGTCCCTGATAGTTTCTTGTCTGGAGTGCCCATTTTTTGAGTGTTGCTGTTTATTTATTGTTATGATAGAGTATATAAGATTAGCTGGTTCTGCTCTAAAGGTTTCCACCTCTCCTTCTGACTTGGCCTCTCTACCAATGCAAGAACTAGCTGGAAATAATAACAATAATAATAACAATAATAATAATAATAATAATAATAATAAACTTTTGTCGAAGGCTTTCATGGCCAGAATCACTGGGTTGTTGTAGGTTTTTTGGGCTATATGGCCATGTTCTAGAGGCATTTTTTCTTCTAGAACATGGCCATATAGCCTGAAAAAACCCTCAACAACCCAATAAACTTTTATTTATATCCTATCACCATCTTCCAAAGAGACTTGGGGCAGCTCACAGAATGCTCAAGGTGTGACATGCAAAATACAACAGGTGCAAAACAAAACAAAAACAATAAACATCAACACAACATCATAAATTCACACTATCCCCTGCAGTGGTAAAAACAATAAAATACAGCAATTGCTGTAGATGAAATTGCAGTATTCAATCTCAGAAATTTAAAGTCCTAATAGAGAATCTGAAGGTCCTCGTATGTATTATTAGAGAGTCTAAACATGGTCAAAGGCTTGTCGGAAAAGCCAGGTCTTTATTTGTGTGTGGAAGGTTTGGACAGCAAATACTGACAGGCTCTAGAACTAATCTGCTTTTGGTGCCTAAAAAAGTGATACTATAGGCAAAGCAGAAAAGATAGGCGTCTTTCAGGCAAAAAGAAGTGCCCCCAACAAATAAAATCAATTGTAAACACTCCAGTGACATCCCTTCTCTCAGTCTCTCAACCTAACTGAAATCACAGAGCATCTTATTAGGGAGGAAGGCAGAAACGGTTGCCGTCTTGAGCTCAGTGGGAGAAAGACACATGATAAATGTTGCCTCTCTATGTTTCATTTCACACAAAGGAAGCTTGTCAGGGCTCATGGAGAGTTTCTCTCCATTCTGTGTTATCACAGAAGCAAAAAAAAGGCTGAAGGTTACAGCTTGAATTTGAGGATATAAATTTGAAACAGTGCATCGTTTTGCATACAGCAAATTGCTCTCATCCCATATGGTTCATGGTTGTGAACACTGCTCATAATCCTCTACTTACTCTCAGCAGGTAGTTGAGGCGGGCAAGGGCTTCTAAGAAAATGTCGGCTCCTTTGTTGGAATATTCATAGCGCCCAGCAATGAAGAAGAAGATGGTCTTGTCCAGATTGAAGTCCAGGTGCCTAACAGAGGAAGGGGGTGAGGAACTGAGTTAGATATAGGGCTACATTTGACAACAAAGCAAGGACAGCACATATAGAATAGAATCATAGAGTTGGAAGAGACCTCGTGGGCCATCCCGTCCAACCCCCTCCCAAAAGGCAGGAAAATTGCATTCAAAGCACCCCCGACAGATGGCCATCCAGCCTCTGTTTAAAATCCTCCAAAGAAGGAGCCTCCACCAGACTCCTGGGAGAAGAGTTCCACGGTTGAACAGCTCTCATAGTTAGGAAGTTCTTCTTAATGTTCAGGTGGAATCTCCTTTCCTGTAGTTTGAAGCCATTATTCCGTGTCCTAGTCTCCAGGGCAGCAGAAAACAAGCTCGCTCCCTTTGCCTTATGACCTCCCCTCACATCTTGATACATGGCCTTCATCATGTCTCCTCCCAGCCTTCTCTTCTGAAGGCTAAACTTGCCCAGGTCTTTAAGCCGCTCCTCATAGGGCTTGTTCTCCAGATCTTTGATAATTTTAGTCACCCTCCTCTGGACACATTCTAGCTTGTCAACATCTCCCTTCAGTTGCGGTACCCAGAATTGGACACACTATTCCAGGTGTGGTCTGACCAAGGCAGAATATGACTCAAATTGTTTAATATGTTTTTGGAGACTGTATTAAATACACAACAGCGGTCTTTCAGAATTTATATTTTGGCGTAAAGCTCCCAGAATCCTTCAACTGGCATAGGCAGAAGTGAAATTTGTAGTCCAAAAACGCAGCTATCCAATGAAACTCTAATTTTAAACAACCTGTTATTGATAGAAGCCAAGAACTCGAAAGTCAGGAAGGGAACCGCTCTTACTTCCTCATTGTTTGCCACCAACCTCAAATCAAATATAGGCTTTCTACCCGAACACGGAACTTCATAGAATCATAGAGTTGGAAGAGACCTCATGGGCCATCCAGTCCAACCCCCTGCCAAGAAGCAGGAATATTACATTCAAAGTACCCCCAAAAGATGGCCACCCAGCCTTTGTTTAAAAGCTTCCAAAGGAGGAGCCTCCACCACACTCTGGGGCAGAGAGTTCCACTGCTAAATGGCTTTCACAGACAGGAAGTTCTTCCTAATGTTCAGATGGAATCTCCTTTCTTGTAGTTTGAAGCCATTGTTCCGTGTCCTAGTCTCCAGGGAAGCAGAAAACAAGCTTGCTCCCTCCTCCCTATGACTTCCTCTCACATACATATACATGGCTATCATGTCTCCTCTTAGCCTTTTCTTCTTCAGGCTAAACATGGCCAGCTCTTTAAGCCGCTCCTCATAGGGCTTGTTCTCCATTTTGATCATTTTAGTTGCCCTCCTCTGGACACTTTCCAGCTTGTCAATGTCTCTCTTCAATTGTGGTGTTTGAAGACCTATCCTTTGTTATTTGCAAATGGTTGTTCTCTTCCACTGATCTTTTCAATGCTTTCTTCTTGTTTAGTCTCCACTGAAAATGTCTCTTCATCACTCTTCCCACTATTGCTATTCCTTTTCTCATGAGGAAGAAGCATACAATTTCAGACTCCACAAGTCTCTTGATACTGCTTTGCCTTAGACTGGCCTGCCTAGGTACTAGTTACAGACCAATATTCTGAACTGAAACATATTACAGTTTCATTTTTACTCATATAAGGCCACAGCAGCCACTTCTGAGAAAGCATCTTAAGAAAAACAAGCATTCGTTTCCACTCCTCGTCTTTCAAAAACACCAACAATAACACTTTGGACTTAATGGGGCTCTATATTGAAAACAGGATATTTTGATGTCTAAATTGTAGGACAACAGGTTTCCTCCACTTCCATCCATGTACAGATGCTGACTATACTAAGTGTCAAACCTTCTTCAACAGTGGGAATGGGATTGGTTCCAGAATCATCCCTAATTGAGATGGCTAGTCTAGGAAGCCTTGGACAGGTTGCATATCACACCAAACTACATCCTCAAACTGAGGATGCAGTAGCGCAATGGGCAAAACCCTTGTGCTGCTGAACTATTGACCTGAAGGTTGGCAGATCAAATCCGCAAGATGGGGTGAGCTCCCGTTGTTAGCCCGAGCTCCTGACAGCCTAGCAATTCGAAAACATGCAAATGTGAGTAGATCAACAGGTACTGCTTCTGCGGGAAGGTAATGGCACTCCATGCAATCATGCTAGCCACATGACATTGGAGGCGTCTATGGACAATGTCGGCTCTTCGGCTTAGAAATGGAGATGAGCACTACCTTCCAGGTTGGACACGACTAGACTTAATGTCAAGGGAAACCTTTACTATACTACACTGCCATGGTTTCCAAACTGGTATTCTCATCAATGTAACTGTTTGTTCTTGTTGAAAGCTCAGCCCTCACTGAAATATTGAGCTCGCAGTTCAAAAAAATGCACATGTGAGTAGATCAATAGGTACCGCTTCGGCGGGAAAAGGCAAAAGATGCTCCAAGCAGCCATGCTGGCCACATGACCAGGAAGTGTCTATATAAGCTTTTCAGCTTGGAAATGGAGAAACAGCACCTCCCCCAGAGCCGGAGATGAGCACCGCCTTCAGAGCCGGAAATGAATGAAAGGGGAAGCCTTTGCCTTTGTCTGTGTATTTGTGTCTCATTGCAGTAATTAAGGCATTGAATGTTTGCTTGTGTCTGCTTATATACTGTAATCTACTCTGAGTCCCCTCGGGGAGATGGGCGGAATATAAACAAAGTGTTGTTGTTATTGTTATTATTATTAAAACTATAAAATTAATACAGTTTGATACCACTTTAACTATTATGGCTCAATACTTTGCAATCCTGTAACCAGTAATCCTGTAACCAGTAACCTTTGGAAGAAAAGGCTCAAGACCTTGTAAAACTACAACTCCCAGAATCCCATATATTCATCTATGGTGTCAAACTGCATTACCTCAACAGTGTAGATACACCCATAGAGGGACAGATGCGGAGATCAAAAGGAAGGATGAATGACTGCTACCTGTGCATCCCACTTCAGTCAACCTAATGGCAGTGTCAGTTCTTCCTATTAATAAAATATTGAGATTTCCACATAACCAAATCCTTCTTACATCTATCACCACTGGTTCCTGCCTCGCCCTTCCCTTGAAAACTCCACTTCCTGGAGCACCCATTTCAACTGACTTTGCAACAGTGAGGCAAGACTGGGCCCCATGGTGACTCACCCGTAGAAGTGGCCCCGGACAAACTCCTGGATACGTGCCTTGCTCTGGGCATGGAGGTTTTGGAATTCATGCATGGCCGAAAATTTCTTGACGTTTAGACCATTAGGAGTCACAATATCTGGAAATGGAAAGGCAGAATGGGAAGCGGAGAGAAGAGAAAAGAATTTTATTTCTTTAATTTGAGTTTTTGAAACTGCTCATCCATAAAAAGGGAAACAGACATAAAGCAAACAACCAGGGACACGGCATTAACATAGGAGTGGAGAGGGATATTTGACAGCAAATTAAATGTGGATTCAATTAATGGATGAGATTAATATTATTCTGCAAATGAGGGCTAGCAACAGTTTAAATTATTTACAAGCAGTTTAGGCTTCAAATGTGAATATATATGTCCTGATTTCGTAGCCTATGTGCATTGGAACAGAACTTGCTGCGTGTGTTTCAAGCTGTGGGAATTTTTTCAAGCTTCCACATGGCTAAGGAAATGCTTCCTGAAGTTCCTAAAACCTGAAGGCTGAGCAAAACACTAAACATAGCTCTAGATGATTTTAAATTTCAGAATATTTTTTAAAAGGGATGTTCTCTTTTGAATCTATTCGCAATAAAGACTATGAGTGAAGCTACCACATACTGATCTGGCTTTGTGTAGTACAGGGCTAGAAAAATGCAACCCATGAACCAGATCCTGGATCTCACTTTTTGGCTCCCGAAGCCAAGTTCTTCAAACCTGCCAGTTTTTAAAATTGAAATGTGAATAGATAAATAGGTAATGCTTTAAGTGGAGAGGTAATAAAAGGCGTCCATAAGGACATGTGAGCGATTCGATCGGGACAATAAAAGCTCCTCGGCACGGAAGAAGGAGCGATAGCACCCCCACCCCCCGCCCCATGGCCAGAAGCGAGCTCAGCCTCCAGATGCCGGAAATGGAAAAAGAGGGGAAAAGCCTTTACTTCTGTTTATATATTGTTAATTGTATAATGGCATTGAATGCTTGCCATATATGTGTTCTGCAATCCACCCTGAGTCCCCTTAGGGAGCTACAGCAGAATATAAATAAAGATTATTATTATTATTATTATTATTATTATTATTATTATTTGAAACACAACAAGATTAGTAAACAGTAAACAAGGTCAGTCTGCTGGCTGTTGTATTGAATCACATGTTGGACACTTCCAAAGTATCTAGGACTGTGTGATATATTGGGTGAATAATATGTGTAGATCCCAGTAGGGTGGCCTTTTGCAGCTGACAGATGGTAATTTTGTCAGCGTCGATTGTATTTTACGTGCAGGCCAAGGTATTTAGGCACTGCACCCAGTGTGCCGATCACCACTGGGACCAACTTTACTGGCTTGTGCTAGAGTCTTTGCAGTTCGATCTTCAAATCCTCATATCGTGTCAGCTATTCCAGTTGTTTCTCTTCAATCCTGCTGTCGCCTGGGATTGCAACATTAACAATCCATACTTTGTTTTTTAACACAATCGTGAGGTCAGGAGTATTGTGCTCCAAAACTCTATTATTATTATTATTATTATTATTATTATTATTATTATTATTGTATTGTCGAAGGCTTTCATGGCTGGAATCACTAGGTTCTTGTGGGTTTTTTCGGGCTATATGGCCATGTTCTAGAGGCATTTCTCCTGACGTTTCGCCTGCATCTATGGCAGGCATCCTCAGAGGTTGTGAGGTCTGTTGGAAGTAGGAAAATGGGTTTATATATCTTGTCCCACCCTAGTCATTCCACAGATATATAAACTCATTTTCCTAGTTCCAACAGACCTCACTACCTCTGAGGATGCTTGCCATAGATGCAGGCGAAACGTCAGGAGAAATGCCTCTAGAACATGGCCATATAGCCCGAAAAAACCCAGAAGAACCTTATTATTATTATTATTATCATCATTATCATCATCATCATCATCATCATCATCATCTTCTGAAAACCATACTGAACCACTCCTCCCATGAGTGAAAAAAATGAGCCCAACCGCTTGCCCAGAGCCTCCCACAACTTGAAAATTCCTCTGTTTTCATTGGTGTCCTTTGTCATATTAGTGACAAAAGTGCTGCTAACCAAGATGACTATTACTTTGAAAGCTGTGAAACAAATGCTACTCACCAGGCTTCCTTTTCAACAAGTGTTCAGCTTCCACAGCTGTGATCTGGGAGACTGTGGTAAAAACATGCGTGCAATGGACAGCAGCCCGCTCCATACAGTAACGGTGGTAGATCTGCCGATCCCCAGCCTCCTTGTCCACATTAAACTGGGGAAGGATGGGAGAAATAAAATTAAGCAAAATTTGATGTAAAGTCCACGGAGCAGAATAGGGCAGAAACTGATTGAAAAGTACACCTGGCGGAGTTCTAGGTGTAAACTAGAATATTGAAGTTTTGAGCGAAGGAATGAGAAACTGAGAACTTTCCACAAATATATAAAACACACCTATATATTTTCTTCATGCTGTCCCCTACAACTAGCTATATCTAATGCTATATCAAATCCCCAAGAGATGGGATTGAGACTAGGAGTTAAACTGAATTGCTGTAGTATTCAATAAATCGTATCTGTTCCCCATCCCAAACAAACCCCACTCTTAAAAGCTCACCGTCTGGAGATTGTTGTAGAAGTCGACGCTTCCAGCACACAAATAGCGCCCAAGCAAAGTAGCATGGGTGGTGAAGATGGTAGCCACCGGAAGCTTCCGGATCCGGCAGAGGAAAAGACCAACCCCAGACAACCACTCGTGGAAATGACCGATGATAAACGGCATCTCCTCACACTGTGCGGAAAACTGTACCAAGAACACAAGCAGAGAGTAAATGGAGTTTTATTGAAATGAGAAAAGAGGCAAAGACAATTTGAACCTGCCAACACTTTTATTTTATTTTTGCAGATCCCACATATTAACTGCTTCAAAAACCAGTAGAATTGGTGGCACCAGTGCAGGAGTGGAAATCATTTGGATTTCTAGCTGTGGTTGTGTTACATATCCCAGCCTTGTTCAACTTTGGCTACACTGGAGGTGCACTTCAACAGCACCTGAATGATTACATAATTTCTATGCCTGCTCTAGAGAGAAGCCATTCTATCTGCGGTCCCAAGAGGGATCCATTAGCAGCTGCTTTTAATTAGACTTTAAATGCACACTTGGTTTGTCTATTTTTTTAACTGAAGTGGTTGTTATAATTTGACACTGAATTTCATTCATTCATATTGCCAGCCACCTTGGGAAAACGATGATCTTGAAAGATATCCAAGAACTGTATTTAATAAGTACGTAAATTAGTCAGGAAACTGTTTTCTTACCTCCCCAAGAAACCAGGCAGTAAGGAAGCCAAAGAGAACGGCATCATTCGCCTCTCGGTCGTACCAAGGAATCCCAATAGAGCAGCTTTCCCAGAGTTCGGTCTTCCAGCGATCCAAGCTCCAGGCAGTGGCTCCGATATCAATGAGAATCACATAGGGCCCCCCTTCAATCAGCCAGCGACCAAAATAAACCTGGACAGGAAATATACTCTGAAGATTAGCTGATATGGTTACTTGGTCCAAGGATTATTTCTAACAATGCTGCCATCAAACTACATATTTTGACACTTAAATAGGAAAAGCACAAACTATCCAAGTTCAAAATAGTGTGCTTTATTTTTACAAATAGACTGGGTTATCCACTTTCATGGGAATTAGTGGTGCCTTTCAAGAAACTGAAAAAATAATGTGAATAGAAAATACACTCTTTTTTATCCGATGGAACATCTTCAAAAATCTTTTAGTCCTCCAATGCAACTTCCACCAGGAATTAACCATACAATCACACTAGAGGACCTAGAGAGCATATTAATCAAACCTGCAATACCTGGCAGGGTGACTACGAGGGGCGTTCATTAAAGATTTCCCCTGACCCACTTCTGTTTACAACTCAGAACTGATAACGGTCTTGATTTTACAGACACTGAAGTGGTGTGAGTTTTGATAATGGACCCAGTGGAATACAGAGCAGCCATCAAGTTCCTTTACTTGAAAGGTCGCACACCAAAGGAAGCGTTTGATGAGATGAAAGAGATTTATGATGATGATTCCCCATCATATGATGTAGTCAAGAACTGGCATTGTTGATTCAAATGTGATCAGACTTTGGTGCAAACAGCTCTAATTCCAGGGCGACACCACTCTGCTATTGATGAACACACCATCCAGCAAGTGGAGGTCACCATTTTGGAAAATTCGCCACCTAGCCCAAAATGTCAATAATATTCATGTGGGGTCCGTGGAGAAAATCCTCCAAGACCATCTTCACATGCATAAGGTACGTGTTCGCTGGGTTCCCTGGCTACTCACACCTTTCCAAAAGCAGGAATGAGTCAAATGCCCTCGGGCTCTACTGACGATGTGCCATGGAAACCAGGAGGACTTTTTTCAACAGACTGATGACACAGGATGAAAGCTGGGTCCATCACTATGATCCTGAGACTAAAGTCCAGTCAGTGCAATGGAAGCATCATGACTCACCACCTCCAAAGAAGGCACATGCCCAACTCTTGGCAGGCAAGGTCATGCTCAAAGTATTTTGGGACCATCACGGATAGTATTGATGAATTTGCTAGTAAAGGGTACCATGATCACTGGGGCATACTAGGCTTCACTGCTGCAGAAATTGAGGGAGGCCATCAAACCCAAGAGACGTGGCATGCTCACCAAAGGTGTCTGCTTTCTGGAAGACAATGCACCAGTTCACAACTCACATGTTGCCCAAATGGAAGCATGCTCCTCTAGCTTTGAAATTCTACCACATCCCCCTTATTCAACCAACCTCGTACCATCAGACTTCCACTTCCTTTCAACAAGGAAGTTATTTTTGAAGGGCAAGCATTTTTCAGATGATGAGACTCTGATTTCCGAAGTCACAACGTGGCTTTTGGAGCAACTTATCAACTTCTACAAGCGAGGTGTTTACAGTTGCTTAAAAAGATGGGAGAAGTGTGTGTCCCTAGGTGGCACCTATGGAGAGAAGGACTCATAACTGGGCCAAGTTTCACTGGGGAAATCTTTAATGAATGCCCCTTGTATGTATATGTGTGTGTATAATTTTATTGTTTTACCCCACCCACCCCCCTCCCCATGGACATACAATTTATACAATAAACTATAGAAATTACATTTGAAATTTTTATAACCAATTATAATGGTAAAAGAAGAAATAATAGAGGAAATATTTCAAACGTGGAGAAAGGATATGGAAATTGAGAGGGAAGATATCCAAAGAGAAATAAATAATATAGCATTAATCATATAGATTAATCATCATGATTTAGGACCAAAAATATGTAAACAATATGACTGCTGCAAGTGATAGTTTGCAGCGCACAAATTTGTGTGTGGTTAATTTTAGCCTCTAGTTCATGTTACCCCCATATCCATTTTGTGAAAGGTCGCTCGCCTGGTGTTGTTCTTTGCTGAATCACCCAAAATAACTGCCCAGGCAGAAATACTGAGCAGCCCTCCTGGCCAGGAAAGTGCACGAGAGTGTAGAGTGAGCTAAAAGAGAGAAACCAAGGAGAAAGGAGGGACGGCACAGATACATACATCTCTTTTGCCAAAAAAGGAAATGTCAGGGATTGGATCAGGAACCTTCTCCATGTACAAAAAAGGTATTGGTGCTCCATTTGTGAGTATCAAGCACCTGCAACCCTCAAATTCATTTGCCTTGTATTTTTTGTCACCACCAGCTTCTTACTTTGCATCCTTTTGCATTCATGGAGTCAATCGTACGCCGGATGGCAGGGTTGGGCGGCTCTATGAGCTCCACTTGTGTGCGGACATTCAACTCCAGGTAAGGCCCGATCAGGAAGTAATTCTCACCCCACTCGTCCAGTGTAATCTTGGCCTTGGTCTGGATAACCGTGTAGATCCCGCCAACTACATAAGAGACAAAAGGAAGAATTATTTTCTTTCTTGCAGGCATGTAAGCTTATAAAGAGTCCACGGTCGCGCAGTGGGTTAAACCGCTGAGCTGCTGAACTTGCTGATCGAAAAGTCGCAGGTTCGAATCAGCAATCAGTCAGGCTTTGAAGCTGCAAGGCCATTAAATGCTAATCAAGGTGGCCAATGGCAACATTCACACTGGCCTCAAGCAGACAAGAGTTTTCTCCCACCCTGGACATTCCAGAGATATATAAACCTCACTTGCTTAGTTTCCAACAGACTTGCTTAGTTTCCAACATATGTGGGCGAAACGTCAGAAGGGAATGCTTCTGGAACATGGCTATACAGCCCCAGAAAACTCAGAGCAGCTCAGTATTCACAGATAACTTTGCTCTAACCAAGATATCAATTAGCTATCCCTGCAGTACAGAATCACTGCTTTCCAAAGGAACTGAAAAAGTTTGCCCTGTGCACTTAGGTCCATCACTTTAGCTACTATTTGTTTTTAAAAACCTGGCTCTGTTTACTAAATCTTTGTCTCTTATTCTGCAGCTTTAGAGTCTATGTTCTGCACTTCTTTCAAGCCAGGTTATTTAAAAGAAAGGAAAGGAAAAACCAGTCTCATTAATCATGTAGCAGGAGACACTTGGCTTGGAAGTAGCATTGCGGAGTGCAAGAACCCGGAACTGTAAGAAGGAATGGTTGCTTACCTGTAACCGTGTTTCTTCGAGTGGTGATCTGTGAAATTTGCACATATGGCAATTACTACCATATGTACAATTTCACAGACACCACAAAGAAGAAGGAATGTTTGCTTACCTATAACTGTATCTCTTCAAGTGGTGATCTGTGAAATTCACACATACGGTAGTAATTGTCCTATGTGTGATTTCACAGACACCACGAAGAAGAAAAGGCAATATTCAGGGAGTTGAGGAATGGCATGTTTAGGAAGGCATTACTTCAAGGACCTACTTGGCTTCTCTTTATTGCTGAGGTTGAAGAGTCTTTGGCCCTCCACAGTCCAGTATCATCAACCAAATTTCAAGGGGCTGAGTTTCTTACTGTCAAAGCATCTGTATGGTCAACTAGAAAGAACTCTAGAGACTAACAAGGATATTACGTGTTTTTGTGGAATATTTTCCATGTCATCAGATGAATTTATACAGTACATATAATTGGTGTTGGGACTGTACATAGTGCAATCAAAGGGAAATTTAATAAAGTACTATCACTGATCTCTCCCAATTATGGTACTATTTTCTGCATTTCCTTTTCTGCCTCTGGTGGCGCAGCGGGTTAAACCACTGAGCTGCTGGCCGAAAGGTCGGTGGTTTTAACCCAGGAAACAGGGTGAGCTCCTGCTGTTTGCCCCAGCTTCTGCCAACGTAGCAGTTGGAAAACATGCAAATGTGAGTTGATCAATAGGTACCGCTCTGGCGGGAAGATAACAGTGCTCCATGCAGTCATGCTGGCCACATTACCTGGGATGTGCCTATGAAGAACGCTGGCTCTTCAGTTTAGAAATAGAGATGAGCACCAACCCTCAAAGTCGGACACGACTGGACTTAATGTCAGGGGAAAACCTTTACCTTTTACTATATAGTAATAATATTTATTGTACCCTAATCTCCCAAAAGGGGCTTGGGGCGGCCCCCCCCCCCCCCCCAGTTGGACACGACTAGACTCAATGTCAAGGGGAAACCTTTACTTGCTATTACTGATCTCTCCCAATTACGGTATTATTTTCTGCATTTCCTTTTCTTTAGACTTCAGTGTCCAAATAGTATTCCAACCATGCATATTGTGTATATGCACACTTACAATTCTTGGTAAAACTCCATTCATCAGATGAAAAGGGCATTTTTTTTGTACTACAGCTCCCAGCAGCCCCTTACTTCCCATGCAGGTGGGGGATTCTGAGAGTTCCAACCCCAAAAGTAGGTTTTGCAAGCTGTAGCAGAAACATAGTTATATGATTGGAAGCCCTTATCCTAGCACTCCTGCAGTCAACAGCGAAGCAGGTGACCGATGGCTTTTTCATGTGGTCATCAAGTTTTGGAACGTCACCTTGAATGTTTTCTTATAATCTTATAATTTTATAATGTGCGTCATCAAGACCAAATCGCTGATTAATAAAATCATTTCAGTTTTGGTTTTCTTATCATCAACTTTTGGAACTTTAAATGGTTTGGCAAACCTTTACTCTGTTGTTTTGATACATCCTTGCTAGCCTTTTCAACTACTGTATTGTACCTTGTTGGCTGGAATTACAGTACAGTTGTTACATTATTACATAAGTTTCCCGCATTCCAGGTTTTATGGCTCTCATTTGCCTTGAAGCCATTTTGACATGAAATGCAAAGCTGAAATTTATGGAAACACACAAATGTTAACACCATTTCCACACTTTTAAAGAGCAAGTGCAATAATTGGAACACCCATATGTCAAAATACTGTAAACAGGCAGTCTACTATTTTTTAAATGAAGAAAAAGTATACAAAATATCAGGCTCACTAATCTAGGAAAGAAGGCAGTTTTACTGATATTTATGACTTCTCCAACTCTTTTCAAAGGGGCTTGCAGCCCATCCCAATTTATCTCAAGATCTCTAAGATAAAAATTGCCTGCAGTGTTTAAAGGTCAGTCCTGTCACTGTGTGGATAAAGTTGAGATCCAATTTCCTATCAAAGGGTGAAGATCATTAATGTCTATCTTATTCTTACCCTGCTCTTCACCAAGAGGCTTCCGTAGCCACCTACAAATATCAAATCTTGAGATAGACCTTCGCTGTGAAGTGCCAGGAATGGTTAAAGAAAAATACAGGTTCATTATCCTTTATTCGAAATGCTAGGACCCAGAAGTGTACAATATTTCAGTTTTGTTTTTTTGTTTTTTTGGGGGGCGGGGTTATGGAATGCTTTTATACACAAAATGAGAACCTTGTACGTCAAATTCTCATTCCTAATGCCGCGACCCCTTGATGCAGTTCCTAATGTTGTGGTGACTCCCAACCATAACATTATTTTTGTTGCTGCTTCACAACTGTAATTTTGCTACTGTTATGAATCATCATATAACTATCTGATATGCAGGATGTATTTTCATTCACTGGACCAAATTTGGTACAAATATCCAATACGTGCAAATTTGAATACTGGTGGAGTTAAGGAAGGGAGAAGGTATTGATTTTGTCATTTGGGAGTTGTAGTTGCTGGGATTTATAGTTCACCTACAATCAATGAGCATTCTGAACTCCACCAACAATGGAATTGAACCAAACTTGGCACACAAGAACTCCCATGACCAATAGAAAATACTGGAAGGGTTTGATGGGTATTGACCTTGAGTTTTGGAGTTGTAGTTCACCTACATCCAGAGAGCACTGTGAACTCAAACAAGGATGGATCTGGACCAAACTTGACACAAATACTCAATATGCCCAAATGTGAACACTGGTGGAGTTTGTGGAAAATACACCTTGACATTTGGGAGTTGTAGTTGCTGGGATGTATAGTTCACCTACAATCAAAGAGCATTCTGAACCATACCAACAATAGAATTGGGCCAAACTTTCCACACAGAATGCCCATGGCCAACAGAAAATACTGTGTTTTCCTATGGTCTTTAACAACCGCTCTGACCCCCCCTTGTGGCCCCCCAAGGGGTTCTGCCTTCCAGGTTGATAAATATTGTTGTAGATGGATCCTAAGTCTAAATACAAAATTTACTTATGCTTTATATATATCTTATACTCACAGCTTGGAGGTAATTTTTTATAAACAATATTTTTAATAATTTTGTGTATGAAACAAAATGTGTGTATATTGAGCCATCTTACCATAAATGTGGACAATTTGGTTTTTGGAGTGTTTAAGTATTCCAGATAAGAGTTACTCAGCCTTTCGAACCATTAAGGTTATTTCAGAAACCCTCTGCTACAAAAGATAGGAATTAGTGGATAAGCAAAGAGGTGGGGAAGGAATAAATCAGACTAAACCAGGATTCTGGGTTATTTCTGCAACTAGTAAATTGAACATGTCACAGAACAGGATTTAAGGTCAATGGAAGGACTGCTATTTCCTCTTCCTCCAGGACCACAGCCATAAGTAGCTAATATATATCATCTCAGTTATTGCTGAATTTAGGTATTATGGAAAGAGACATATCTTATAGGAAACTCCATAACCTATTGGAAATAAGTGCACCAAAATCTTATCGAAAAGGTAAAAATGATGTCACATCCGTTTGGCAAATGTGAATCTCCATGATGTGGAGACCACCTTTTGAAAACCACTAGTCAAGAAAAGCATGACCTTGTTAAAAGTCAACTCTTTGAAGAAATGATATTCACAACCATTCATGTAATGGCACACAGGTTACTCAGCTGTTAAACTGACGAACCATGTCTTTAAACTGCCAAGGATAAAGACATGCCACTACAAAAATGGCTGAGGATGTTTTTTCCTTTGAAGTTGAAATTTGCAGTTGCTCATCTACTCTCCCTTAAAAACCTCTTGTTTAAAATATGCATTCAAAAGACAAAAACAAAGTAGTCTTTTTTAAAAATAACGTGTCTCTTTTACTAACAAACTTCTTGTATATATTCACCATACTAGTCCATAGTCCATTGTCTTTAAGAATAGTTGTACTCACAAAAGTCCATAAGTCATACTTCTCTACTAAAGTCCAATCGGCAACATACATGCATCCACCTCCACTGAGATCTGATGCAAGTCTGATGCACCAAGGAATCTCTCCTAGACCATTCACTTAATAGAAATGTTTGTTGGACTTAGATAAAACTAAGCTGAAAAACTACAATCAGAAGCCAATGTATGCCAATAGCAATCTCAGTTCTCTGTGATTGGTACATATGAATATCACCTTTCTGGTATTGGAGAACCAGAGTTTGGGTGTCCTGCATCACTGCTGTCTCATTCCCCCCCTAAATGTCCATACTACAGAGTCAAGAGATCTTAGATCCTGTAAT